CAGCGAGGCCTGAGATAGAGGCAGAGATGATGAAGTGGAGTGATGAAGCGGCTGGGGACTTTGGATCCAGAGAGGGAGAGGGATTGTGTGCTGAAGAATGGGGGGAAGGGGTGTAGGGGGCAGGTTTATAGGGTATACCCTTTGTTAGGTTGATGATGCATGGAGAGGATTAGAACCATGGCAGTGAAATGATGTACGGTGGAATGAATGTAAAACTAAAGTTCTCTCATGTAAAATATCATATAATTCACAACAAAATATGAAAACAAAAGAAAAAAGAAATTAAATGGTGTACTGCAGAAGAATTGATGCATTTTAATTCTAGTTTTTGCAAAGAAAACTGAAAATATCATGGACTGCCTGAAGAACAAACAAATCTGTCTTAGAACTGTTAGAGCCAGAATGCTCCTTAGAAGCGAGGATGGTGAAACTTTGTCTCATATACTTTGTGCATGTGTCAGGAGGGAGTGTTCCCTGAAGAAGGACATCATGTGTAGAAAAAGAACAGTTCAGTGATAAAGGAGAAGACAATGAGATGGATTGGCACATTGGTTGGATGACTAGGCTTACACATGTTTACCCCATGGTGCCTCCAGGGCTCCTAGTTATAACTGACACTTTTTCTAGCCATTTATTAAATATCTAATTCTTTGAGTGAAAAACTTACAAGACCCACATTTCTATGTGGAAGAGCATCTTTTATTCAGATTTTTCACTTTTAAGAGCATTTACCTTTATTTTACATCATGTTTAGTGCAATCTAGACTCACCGGAAAAATGGCAACTTTGACATGAGCTTCCTTTGTGTTTTCTTTCATTATTATCATTGTTTCTTGTAGCATATAATCTTCACTTTCAGTAGCTTGATTATTGATGTGCAGTAAGAAATTGGGTTTAGCTATCATGTGAATGGCAATGTCTCCAAATAATCCTTTATTTCTAACAATTTGTAATTGAATAAGGGTGATATTCTCTGTAAGATAAACATGTTTCAAGTAAATAAGCACTTTTTATTTGTTGTTAGTTCTCTTAAGCGTGGAATATTCTACCTATTCCTTTGAGATACTTTAGGCAAGAGAAGCAGTATAAAGGCAATTTATACTATCAAGGAGTATTTTACTCCTATCTCCTATATACACAAATTTGTGTTGAGAATCATATTCAACTCCTATCATTTAAAAAAAATGTTTATTGTGAACTGAGTAAAAGCTGACAAATCAATTCAGTTTTCCACTCAACAGTTCATACATATTTTGTTTCATATCACTGATTGCAATCCCTACCAAGTTCAAATGGGAGATTCTTCTAACGAGTGTGTACTTCACTAGTGTTAGTACTCAAGTTATAGAACTGCCTATTGTTTGTCTGAAAACTAAGCCATGGAGGTGAGTTCAGTTCCAAATTTTAAAGTAACTAAGGGACATAGTATCGGGTGTTCCACCAGTCTCTATTCAATAATTATGCCTGGTCTTTTTTTTTAACTATTTTGAGTTCTGTTTCACATTTTTCTCTCACTCTATCCAGAACCTTTTAATATGATCCCTTTCATAGTAGTTGGTAGTGTACTGG